AAGACGAAGTTTCGCTGGCGGAGATAAGAAACAGAAATAGTAATCAGGTTGAGAAAGTTTCATTGGCAAAAAGGTTAGACGGATTTATTGAAAGTGCAATATCTGCTACTGCCTCAACAAGTACAAGAGCAATCATACAAAAGTCATTAGCTGCAAAACCAGATCGATTATCAAAAGTAATAAAACGAGAAATGGTCTTTTTTGAGGATGGCGGTTGTCGAGGACAATATTTGCAGCTATGTCACGAGCATTTACTGACCATTCCACCCACCAGAGTCCAATTGGAGAGAGCTTTTTCAGTTGCCGGTGGATTTTGTAGTAAGCTTCGGTCAAGATTAGATGATAAATCCTTAAATGCTCTCGTGGCACTTAAGTCTTACTTTGGTCAAAAGTGATGTGTCTCGTTATATACTTATATTTTTTTAGTTTATATAGTTTTTTATAGTTTTATATTTGCCATGTTCGCATGAGTTCATGTCAATTTGTTTCTGTTTTTTTTTGTTTTGATTTTTGTTGGTTAACCGTTCTCAGTTTTTTTTTTAATTAATTTAATTTCTTATATTTTCTCAAGACAGATCTAATCGATATTAGATAAGTATACTGTGTATTTTAGTTTCGGGACCAGTTTCGGGACTTTCGGGAGCATTTTTGGTAAACCTGTCTCTAATAGTTTCTGAAAAATAAAATTAATTTTTTTAAAAATGTCCGATTAAATGTATATCTCCGAAACTAAAGTTCCAAGAAAATTCGTAATATATCTTGAAATTCATTTACCCGCTAGTAGTTATAGAAAGCATTTTTGGTAAACTCTGTCTCTAATAGTTTCTGAAAAATAATAATAATTAATGGACTGATGGATCAGTGGATCTTTTCTAGACTAACGTTAATTCAAGTCACTCTAACATACCTCTACTTCTTTGATTAATAAATCTAACCCGACCGCTATAAAAATTATTTCCTAAATTATCCAATGACCATAATGGATGACCATAATGGACAGCCTTTGAAGAAATCTGATGGGTTAAAAATGCAATATATTATGCAATCAAGCTGCTAAAACAGGAAAATTATGCAGTCCTATGTTGCCTATGTTTAAATTTCCCGCTAGGTTATTCGTTCACATTCGAGTATTGTCAAAATCGAAAGTCGGGCATTTTCTATTGGCAGAGCTAGTGCGCGTGCGCAATCAGTGTAAGGGGGCCCGCCGGGACCCTCTCTGGTTTGTTGTGCCTCTGTGCTTTCCTTATAGTACTTTTGAAGGTAAGTTAGAGTTTAATAATATAATGTGGCGCAAAGATACTTCTAGCAAATATTACAATATACCTATTACATGCAAATGTTCAAATTAAGCGGTTTGAAAGAGCTCTTCAAGAGGCTCCATATACTAATCAAAATAGACAGCCTGCTTCATTTAATCAGGCATCTTTCTTTCAACCTTGTAATGATCAACATAGCACATCAGATGTTTCAGTTCTTGATTTACAGTCTGAAGATTCTCTGCCACATCTTAACATTAGCGAAACTGAAACAGATAACCCTCGAGATATGTTGTGTATCTCAAAGTGGGGAATCATCAGATGAATTACATGACACTACCACATCTAATGTGACTATTTCACCTAGCACAGTCACAATCTCAAATGATTGAAAATCGGCTCATTCAATTTTTTCAGAACACAGGCAAGAATTAGATATTTGAATACTTAGTTTTCTTTTTGTATTTTTTAGTTAGAAGCAGTTCGAGAAAAAAAAAAGAAATATCTATCAACATCCAATAAAAGATAGAGTGCGCTAAGGGTGTAGTTGCCGGACCGAAGCCAGACTCACGGGTGTATCAAGACATAAGAAATGACCATGTACCTGAGTTTTTATATTAATAAATATTTTAAGCTGACTTCCATTGAATTATTTCTAATTAAATTCCTAGGTCGTTGAAAAATGTACGTCCATAGTACGTACATTGTATGTCCATAGTACGTACATTGTACGTACTATGGATGATTTCGATCATTTTATATCCAGTTTTGGTCCGGAACAAAACATAAAATGTACGTACCTGGAATGTACGTACATGCGACGTACATAGTTCGTACTTTACCACATCCCAGGGACGTATCGGGGACGTACAAAGCGTTGGAAAATGTCAGTCTCTAGTACGTACATAGTACATATCTGTACGTACTTGTACGTACCAGGGACCTCCCAAGTAGCATTTGGACGTTATCTAACGTCGGGTATACGTCGCGTTCAATAAACCCGACGTCGGGTACCAACGTCGGTTCGACCGCCTGACGACCCTTATTTGCACCTAAATGGGGAATACAGATTCGGGTCGCCTCGACGTCGGTATCTGACCTAATAGGGAATGTAATTCTACCAATTACCAACGTCATATTACGTTGGATTTTAGTCATTTAAAATTCGTCGCTAAGCACTTACGTTTGGTTTCATATTCGCTACAAGGAATACATAAAAACCTAACTAAACTACCTAATTACAAATGGATTCATAATCACTCCTCGAATATAACTATAAGTGCCTATCTAATTTCATATTATAATAATTCTGAATCATTAATCCAGACATCAGTTTTGTCAACGGAAGTCACTTTTTGATATACCTGATTAAAATAATTCGGAAAACAACGAGCGCCTTCTTGCAAATTAGGTAGATTTATGGAAATAAAAATATCTATAAAAAAGTTACTCGCATAATATTTTTTAATTTTCTAGCTGGTTTAATCCATAAAACTGTACTGTGGTTCCCCCCCAAACTCAACCTTATCAATATTATTCTACTAGAAATCGAAATGTGAATATAAATTTTAAAAACAAAACGATTTTAAAATGGCTGACAATCGGATACGTGTTAAGAATGGCGGATTTCTGTGTCCGACTTAATATGAACTACCAATATACTAATTCCGACCGGGTCTCCAACATTAGTCGTCTCACACGACCGAAGTCATCAAACCGGACGACCGGCAATCGTATTATGACTATATAATTCCAACGTACGCCACGTAACCTGACTTTGCGTATCAGTGATTTTGTGGATTTGTGCAACTATATTTTAGTTTTTTTTTCTTCTTAAAAAAATGGGCAGCCACTTTTTAAGCCTAACCTCACATGTGGGAGGAGGATGGGGTCTGCTGGTTTCCTAAGCTAAAATGAAATTAAGATGCACCAGTGTAATGCAGCATCTCTTCCGGATAAAAATCATTTATGAGTGGAGGCAAGACATCACTACTACTATTATTTTGCAAAAGCCTCGACCTCTTTCTGCAAAATGTAGATGAATGTCTAAATGCCTTTTTAGTGTTTTTTTAGGCATAAGTTTGTTTAAAAATTAGTTATTTTGTACGTCGACAGATCGTTGGATTTACCTACTCGGATCCAACGACGTCGCTTTTAATAGGAAAGCGACGTCACAGGTCGTATCACCAGCACCCGACCTAAATTTGCACAAGTCTGACGTCGCTTCAGGTTAGATTTAGTTCGAAGTCAGATAGATGCTACTTGGGCTGACGTTCGTCCCAACATTACGTACCAGGTACGTACATATTACGTACCGTGGCTGTATGGGATACATACCCTTAAATTATAAAAACACTAATCACCCACGCACTGAGACTCCCACCTGTTCAAAAAACTGCTAGGATTAAAATGTTCTTCGTCGTTCGTTGTTTCTACTACTACGTCGCTTACTTAACGATGTACTTAAACAGCCGTCAAACGGTAGCCTACTAAAATGCCGTTAATAGATATTGTGACGTCGTTCATGTCGGCGGGATTTTTTTTAAAGCCTGGCCTTAAGCATTTTGCAAGAGCACCTGTGGGTCAGTGGCTGAGGCTATCGCTTCGTGAGCGAATGGTCCGTGGTTCAAATCTCACGCCGACCAAGACTTTTTTATATTTTTTTTGCTTATAGCGTGATCTTCTTGCATTGGTTTCACTCTTTTTGGTTGGATTGGTTTAGTTATTTGGCGGGTTGGTTAGCGTGGTTATTTGGAGGGTGTTAATTCATTGGTTAGTTGGTTATTTGGTGGGGGTTGGTTGATTTTTACTAATTTATATTTGTTTTTTATATTTTTTATTAGTGTCGAGGTTAGTTGCGTTGGTTAAGTTGGTTATTTGGTGGGGTGGATAGCGTTGGTTAGTCCATATAAAATTCCTATATTTCATAAAGCCGTCAAGTGCGTCACATCAACGACGTCATACCTATTAACTGCATTTTAGTAAGCTACCGTTTAACGGCAGTTTAAGTACAGCCATTACTTACTACGCATCAGCTTCACAATAAGTCACGTGAAGTGGCGTCATTTTTTACTAAATATATCATGGTAAATTCGAAAAAGTTTTGTGAACATGTCTAGAGACATGCAATTTTACTACAAGATTGTATTTCCTATTTTAAACTCACAAAACTCATTGTGAAAATAATATCGTTTTGTAATAACCATTTAATATTAATAAACTGTTTTGTAAAATAACATTTTTTTGTGAAACTATGCAAAAATATCTTATTTTTACAAGTTTCGTATTAAAAATACTCTAAACTCTAATATATCAATATTTTCTTGTAAAATTACTTAATTTTTTTTCAGTGTAGTTTCCGGTGAAATAGGAAGTGACCAAAACTAATTAAAATACAATCAATCCCGACTTATGTTGCATACTAACATATTTAACTTTTTCATCTGAAAAAATCAAAAATTCTATAGGGGTAGCCCCCTTTGAAAAACACCCAGTATAAATTTTCAGATTAAAATTTTAAGTTACCAAAATTTCGATGCTGGTTTATATTATGAACCAATTTGTATACACAAAAATCTAAAGGAAATATTTTTTTACAAAATAGTAATTATGCCATCATTAAAAAAGTACTCATTGTAGGTACGAGTGGCAGGTAAATATTATTTACGTGCAATAAATGGCAATGTCAATAAGGTTGTGCTTGACGATATCAATCACTTTTACCAAAAGAACCACTATTTCGGCTGCGTTGTCCCCGATCTTCTTCTTGCTACTTGTTGCCTCGAACAAAATCGTCTTTCCGTTAGTTTTAAAACGTTCTATCTATGTAGTCGGTGTCAGTCGGGCACATGCCTTATATCTGTGACAGAGGTACCATTTCAATAACAGAACATATTATTAGCAGAATGTTAATTAGAAATTGCCTTTTGGTAAGTCCTACTTATAGTTTACGATACTAAATTATTTAGATACAGCAATAATGCATAAAGAAATAAGCTTCAATTTGTCTTGACTGGGTGAACATTTTTACAAATATTTGTACAGTATGTCCCCGGATTGTCTTTACAAGAGGAAAAACTTTTTTATTATCGGCATTTTAAGATAAATGCATCCTTCATAAAAAAATTTGCTGGTTCTAAAATGGTTAATCTTGTTTATACTTTTCCAAATTTACATATCGTTTTAGAGAAAATTAGAAAAAATATGAAAATATTGTTGAATTTTTCAGTCCTAAAAATAAAAAGGCGTTTCTATGGTAATATAATTACGATTTCATTTTGTGATAGATGGTTATTATTAATTTTGATTAATGTTGTCATATTTTTTGCTGTTGTTAAAATATCACATTTTCCGATAACTACTATCACCCTTTCCTTAGCATTGAACTAAATAAATTTTGTGCTTCTGTAACATTTTAAAACAACAAAAAATATGACGTTAATTAAAATTCTATCCACAACAATCTATCCAAAAATGAAAACGAAATTATATTGCTATATATAGAAACGCGTTTTGATTTTTAGGATTTTGAGAAAAATTCAACAATATTTTCATGTTTTTTTCTAATTTTCTGTAAAACGGTATGAAAATTTTGAAAAGTAAACGGGATTAACCATTTTAGAACAAGCAATGAAGAATGCATTTTTCTCAAAATGTCAATAATAAAAAAGTTTTTCCTCTTGTAAAGACAATCCGGGGACATACTATATATATACCTAATACAGGGTTGTTCACCACATACGACACGGAGTATTGTAACACCCTATATAGTATTCCATTTTTAGATTCTACGATTGAAATAAAGGTAAATTTGATTAAGGTTTATCACACTTAAACCTTACCGTTTTTGAAATTTTTTCCTATTTTTGTAAAATTGCAGTAAAAAATTTAAGGTTTCATTTCTCCATGGGTATTAAAGGTTTTAATACTAAATATTTACTGAAAATTATTTATTGATCAGATACTATGTTGTAATAATAAAAATTATACTACATTATACAGAGTGTCTAGAAATTTATATTAAATAATTACTAGCTTTAAACGGCAATAACTTGTTTAATTTAAATAAAACATCCTGTATATTTTACGCGAATCAGATGCACAATTTAATTGTTTATCAAATTGTATTATAGCATTTTTTACCTATATCTTCACGTTTTCGTAGAAAATGCATTTTATTATATTTAGACCTCATTTATCACTATACCCATGGAATATTGACATTTTAGATTTTTTTAAAGCAACATATGTACATACAAAATGTACAGGTGGTAAAAATAATAATATTGCAAGCCCATTTGTTTACAAAAAGAAAACTATTTATATCTTTGTAAAAGAATATACCAATTATATTACTAATTATTAATATACCATCATTATTTCCGCCCAAAAATTAGTTAATTACATACTTAATTGTTTTAATTAATAAATTATTCTAAATAAATGTGGATTTGACTCAGAAATCAATACAATAATAAGTTATAAAAATGAACGTCTCTCTTGTTATAACTAAAGCATTCGTCAAAAAATGAAATAAAATTAATAAGGTGTTACTTTTTACCACACTGTCTAATACACATACAAATTTGTTACATCTTTAAAAATAATCTAAAATGTCAATATTCCATGGGTATAGTGATAAATAAGGTCTAAATTATTAGAAAATTCATTTTTTTCGAAAACTTGAAGAGATAGGTAAAAATGGTATAATACAATTTGATAGACCAATAAATTGTGCGTCTGATTCTCGTAAAATATACAGGGTGTTCCATTTAAATTAAAGAAGTTAAAGCCGTTTAAAGCTAATAATTATTTAATATAAATTTTTAGACACTCTGTATAAGGTAGAATTTTGTTTATTATTGCAACACAATATCTGATCAATAAATAAACTTCAGTAAATATTTAGTATTAAAAATTTCGATACCATTGGAGGAATGAAGTCTCAAAATGTTTACTGCAATTTCATAAAACTGAAAATATTTCAAAAACGGTAAGGTTTAAGCGTGATAAACCTTAATAAAATTTACCTTTATTTCAATCCTAGAATCTAAAAATAATATACAGGGTGTTCCATTTAAAAAATACAACGATAATATTTTTTACTTATTTGGGATACTGTGTATCTTGTAAAATTATTTTTAAATTGTAGCCCTAATAGTCCTTCAACGAACCCAAAACTTACAATTTGTAAAAATCTAACTGTTTAGCTACAATACTCCGTGTCGTATGTGGTGAACAACCCTGTATATTCCTATATACTTTTACATGCATATTGAAAAATTTAACATTTAATGTGTCTGCCAAATCATTAAAGTAGATATATCGCTGAATATATTTTACATAAAAATATATAAAATGTATATAATTTTTTTTATATATAGAATGTCCCGGGTTATCTTTACAAGAGGAAAAGCTTTTTTATTGTTAACTTTTTGAAAAACCTGTATTCTTCATAAAAGCTTTTTATAAATTTTTAATCCCGTTTATATTTTTCTAAATTTCCATATCGTCTAGTAGACAAATAAAACAAATAAAATATGTATAGTCGAAATTCCCAAATAGTTTCAAAAATCAAAACGCGTTTCTATAGTACCTAATATCATTTTTATGTTTTCATGCTTTGATAGACGTTATATAGATTGACAGATGTTATAAAACATATTGTTAATTTTGATTAACGTCATATTTTTTGCTGTTTTAATATGTTAAGAAGCACAAAATTTATTTGGTTCAGTACTACAGAAAATGTGATTATAAATTTTGTGGTTCCCCTTTATCATCTCAAAATATATAGAAAATATATATGATGTTAATCAAAATTGATACTACGTTTTTCCTCTCGGAGACATACTGTATATAAAAACTGATAATTTCTTGTGAAATATTAAAATATATTATACAGGGTGTTATACAGGGTGGTTCGAACTGTATTCCGGAAATTTCGGCAGCATATTCTGCAGATAAAAATAAGTAAAAAAGTCCGTATAAATGTATGTCCGAAAATGCTGAGTTTCGGAGTTTTTTGACATGAGAAATTTGATTTTGATGTCAATATGACTAATACTTGTTGGGGGCGCCACCTACGTGTGTTTCAACTGGTTTGAAGAGTAATAACTTTTCGTCCGTACCTGTATAAAACTACTAAGTAAAAAAATATACATTTACGACGTGTTTTACCTAAAACAGGTATCTTGGTAAAAATCGCTATCGAGTAATGGTTCTTGAGATATTTGGAATCTAAATAATCAATACTGTTTTCATTGGCATAAATTAAACATGTTGACTAAATAGTTTATTACACTGAAATCATAAATTTGAAATGTTTTTGTGCCAAAATTTCAACATAAACTGTTTTATGTTGTAGTTATAAAAAGCATTTTTGGTAAATTCTGTCTCTAATAGTTCTGAAAAATAAAATTATTTTTTTTAAAAATACCCGATTAAATGAATATCTCCGAAACTAAAGTTCCAAAAAAATTCGTAATATATCTAGAAATTCATTTACCCACTAGTAGTTATAAAAAGCATTTTTGATAAACTCTGTCTCTAATAGTTCTGAAAAATAAAATTACTTTTTTTAAAAAGGGTCCGATTAAATTTATATCTCCGAAACTAAAGTTCCAAAAAAGTTCGTAATATATCTAGAAATTCATTTACCCGCTAGTAGTTATAAAAAGCATTTTTGGTAAATTCTGTCTCTAATAGTCTCTGAAAAATAAAATAATTTTTTTTAAAAATGTCCGATTAAATGAATATCTCCGAAACTAAAGTTCCAAAAAAATTCGTAATATATCTAGAAATTCATTTACCCACTAGTAGTTATAAAAAGCATTTTTGGTAAACTCTGTCTCTAATAGTTTCTGAAAAATAAAATTAATTTTTTTAAAAATGTCCGATTAAATGAATATCTCCGAAACTAAAGTTCCAAAAAAATTCGTAATATATCTAGAAATTCATTACCCACTAGTAGTTATAAAAAGCATTTTTGGTAAACTCTGTCTCTAATAGTTTCTGAAAAATAAAATTAATTTTTTTAAAAATGTCCGATTAAATTAATATCTCCGAAACTAAAGTTCCCAAAAAATTCGTAATATATCTAGAAATTCATTTACCCACTAGTAGTTATAAAAAGCATTTTTGGTAAACTCTGTCTCTAATAGTTTCTGAAAAATAAAATTAATTTTTTTAAAAATGTCCGATTAAATTAATATCTCCGAAACTAAAGTTCCCAAAAAATTCGTAATATATCTAGAAATTCATTTACCCACTAGTAGTTATAAAAAGCATTTTTGGTAAACTCTGTCTCTAATAGTTTCTGAAAAATAAAATTAATTTTTTTAAAAATGTCCGATTAAATTAATATCTCCAAAACTAAAGTTCCCAAAAAATTCGTAATATATCTAGAAATTCATTTACCCACTAGTAGTTATAAAAAGCATTTTTGGTAAACTCTGTCTCAAATAGTTTCTGAAAAATAAAATTAATTTTTTTAAGGGTCCGATTAAATTTATTTCTCGAACTAAAGTTCCAAAAAGTTCATAATATATCCTAGAAATTCATTTACCCGCTAGTAGTTTAAAAGCATTTTTAGGTAGAGATTCTGTCTCTAATAGTCTCTGAAAATAAAATAATTTTTTTTTTAAAATGTCCCGATTAAATGAATATCTCGAAACTGAAGTTCCAAAAATTCGTAATATATCTAGAAATTCATTTACCCACTAGTAGTTATAAAAAAGCATTTTTGGTAAACTCTGTCTCTAATAGTTTCTGAAAAATAAAATTAATTTTTTAAAAATGTCCGATTAAATGAATATCTCGAAACTAAAGTTTCCAAAAAATTCGTAATATATCTAGAAATTCATTTACCCACTAGTTATAAAAAGCATTTTATGCAAACTCTGTCTCTAATAGTTCTGAAAAAATAAAATTGCACTTGCCCCAAAAGGTCGATTAAATTTATATCTCGAAACCTAAAGTTCCAAAAAAGTTCGTAATATATCTAGAAATTCATTTACCCACTAGTAGTTATAAAAAGCATTTTTTGATAAACTCTGTCTCTAATAGTTCTGAAAAAATAAAATTACTTTTTTAAAAAGGGTCGATTAAAATTTATATCGAAACTAAAGTTCCAAAAAAGGTTTCATGCTGTAACTCTAGAAATTCATTTACCCGCTAGTAGTTATAAAAGCATTTTGGTAAATTCTAAATATAATAGTCTCTGAAGAATAAAATATTTTTTTTTAAAAATGTCCGATTAAATGAATATCTCGAAACTAAAGTTCCAAATTCGTAATATATCTAGAAATTCATTTACCCACTAGTAGTTATAAAAGCATTTTGGTAAACTCTGTCTCTAATAGTTTTCTGAAAAATAAAATTAATTTTTAAAAATGTCCGATTAAATGAATATCTCGAAACTAAAGTTCCAAAAAAATTAAATATCCTAGAAATTCATTTTACCCACTAGTAGTTATAAAAAGCATTTTTGGTAAACTCTGTCTCTAATAGTTTCTGAAAAATACAATTATTTTTTTAAAAATGTCCGATTAAATGAATATCTCCGAAACTAAAGTTCCAAAAAATTCGTAATATATCTAAAAATTCATTTACCCACTAGTAGTTATAAAAAGCATTTTGGTAAACTCTGTCTCCTAATAGTTCTGAAAAATAAAGTGTTTTTTAAAATATCGATTAAATGAATATCTCGAAACTAAGTTCCAAAAAATTCGTAATATATCTAGAAATTCATTTACCCACTAGTAGTTTATAAAGCATTTTTGGTAAACTCTGTCTCCTAATAGTTCTGAAAAATAAAATTACTTTTTTAAAAAGGGTCCGATTAAATTTATATCTCGAAACTAAAGTTCCAAAAAAGTTCGTAATATATCTAAATTCATTTTACCCGCTAGTAGTTATAAAAAGCATTTTTGGTAAATTCTGTCTCTAATAGTCTCTGAAAAATAAAATAATTTTTTTTTAAAAATGTCCAAATTAAATGAATATCTCGAAACTAAAGTTCCAAAAAAAATTCGTAATAATAAAATTTGTTTACCCACTAGTAGTTATAAAAACATTTAATGGCTTTCTAATAGTTTCTGAAAAATAAAATTAATTTTTTTAAAATGTCCGATTAAATGAATATCTCCGAAACTAAAGTTCCAAAAAAATTCGTAATATATCTAGAAATTCATTTACCCACTAGTAGATATAAAAAGCATTTTTGGTAAACTCTGTCTCAAATAGTTTCTGAAAAATAAAATTAATTTTTTTAAAAAGGTCCGATTAAATTTATATCTCCGAAACTAAAGTTCCAAAAAAATTCGTAATATATCTAGAAATTCATTTACCCACTAGTAGTTATAAAAAGCATTTTTGGTAAACTCTGTCTCTAATAGTTTCTGAAAAATAAAATTATTTTTTTTAAAAATGTCCGATTAAATGAATATCTCCGAAACTAAAGTTCCAAAAAAATTCGTAATATATCTAGAAATTCATTTACCCACTAGTAGTTATAAAAAGCATTTTTGGTAAACTCTGTCTCTAATAGTTTCTGAAAAATTGCAGTAGTTGAAAAAAAGTTGCATTTTCTTCGAAAAAATTATGATTCTCTTCGAAGAAATTATGATTTATTTAAAAAATAAAAAGTTCCCAAATTTTTAATTTCACTCAAATAACCATCAAATAACTATCTACTCAACATGTTTAGTTTTTTGTCAATAATGATATGTATTGATTATTTTCATCCCAAATCTCTTGAGAACGGCTACTTGCAGCGACTTTTACCAAGAGACATTTTTTACGTAAAACATCACGGAAATGTATATTTTTTCACTCATTAGTTCTATACGGATACGGGTCCGGACGAAAAGTTATTACACTTTTAAACAGTTAAAACATGTAGATGGCGCCTTCTACAAGTAGGAGTCATATTGACATCAAGATCAAATTTCTCATGTCAAAAAACTTCCAAACGTCAATTTTCATCCAAATATTGATGTTACTTCAGAAATTATTTGAAAAAATCGAAATAAAAATGATAGTTCTACACCCTGTATCATCGAAACTAAGCTTTTTAAGACATACATTTATACGAACGTTTTTACTTATTTTTATCTGCAGAATATGCCGCCGAAATTTCCGGAATACAGTTCGGACCACCCTGTATAGTAATACGCATACTAAGATGATTGCTAGCATATATTTCATATTGGTGGTTGGTTGTTGGCAATCATATGGTATAATATAAATATTTCTAAATATGGCCATACCGTTATTAATATTAATATTCACATTTTAGGTATTTGTCTTCAGTCTTGTTTCATGCAGACCTCAGTCAAATCTCGCAGGATCAATAGCTTCGTCATCTGAAACAAATATCGAGTAAGATTAAATTTATAAATTTAGAAAAATAAATCAAGAATACATCTTTAAATGTATATATTGTACTTCATTCAATTATCTTGATATAAAAAGAATCTAGTTCCATATAATCTAATCGCTACCATTCCACGATTACACCAAAAAGCTTATTGTAACATCATGAACGCACGTTTCGCTAACCATGTTCCTCATTCTAAAATTTCGACTATTTTTTCATTTAAGGATTTTGGCTAATTTTGACCGTATCGAATTTGTCAAGGAATTTTTGTTATTTACTTAGCAAGATGTTTTGAAGTTTTGTAAAGTTTTGCTGTCTCTAGTTTTCTTTCAGTTATATTATCAGCGTTCTAAAAATTTTTCCACATTTCTAATGTTCAATATACAGGGGGTTTCCTAAGTAGTCTAAAAAAACTTAGAGTGTGATTCCACATATATTTTAAGACAAAAAGTTTATATGAACATGAGGTCTAAATTACTTCCTTTCTTCTGTGCAGGGTGTCCCATTTTGATTGAAATCATACGGCATCTCCGTTATCTCCGTTATCTAAAGATAGGAAGATGCGGTTTGTACAAACCTGTCCAACTTTTTGTCAAACGGAAGATGCTGTAATCAAAATTCTCATAGCCCTTTTCGTTTCTGAGCTAAGGGTCTTTTCGAAAATTTTGCAATTTGGGACATCCCCCGTATCTCCGTTATTATGGACGATATCGAGAAGGTGAAAACTGATTCTTGTAGAACTTTTTACGTAGAATACAGTGGCGTAATACTACTAAATGCTACGTGGCGCTACTAAAAATACTTTTGAAAATATGAACTAAAGTTATGTTTTTTCAAATGGAACACCCTGTATATTTAGAAATCATATTATGATCCGTCTTGCTATGAGCTTTTCAAAAATATTTATCACTCTATATAATTACTGCAATATTTAAAATATACAATTTTCTTATTAGTAGGCCGTGACAAATCAAAATGGTATTGGTAAAATCAAAATGGTATTTACTAAAATAGAAAATAGCCACACACATATTAAAATTTTATCTGAGATTGATATATTTTACCTTTGAACTGTTACCACTGAATCACTGAATATATTTTTCTTTCTTTTTATTACGGAATTTATTATAACGGGATGGGGTTTGCAAATATCTAAAAGTTTGCATTATTAAAGCATTTTCCAGGTGTTCGATAATGTTGTAGTTGCCACGATTATTTGATATTTCAAAAATTCCCAAAAACAGAAATCGAGAACGGACAAATCCGGTAATCAGGGAGGCCCTCATATGGGTCCATTGCATTGGTTCCAATTCATTGATTTAAGAAATAATAATTTAATATTTTCAAAGTTGTGAGGGGGTGGTCCATTTTGTTAAAAGTATATTTGACGTAAATTAGCTAAAGGAATATCTAAAACTTCCGATAAGATAGCTTCCAAGATTTACAATAGCGGTTGAGAATTAAGTTTCTCTAATATGTAAACAATTTATTAGTGGCTCCCAAAATAAAACAAGGGACAGATAACTTTTAATAATTCTTTAGTTTCTTTTGTTATCAAGCATGGCCTACTAGTAAAAAATATAATTTTTTTATAATTTATAAATATACAGGGTGTTACATTTAAGAAAACCTAACTTTAGTTCATATCTTTAAAAATATTATCTTTATAGAATAACAGACTACGCCACTGTATTCTACGTAAAAAGTTCTACGTTAAACAGTTTTTACCTTCTCGATACCTTTAACAATAACAGAGATACAGGGGGTGTCCCAAATTGCAAAATTTTCAAAAAAGACCCTGTAGCTCAGAAACCAAGAGAGCTATGAAAATTTTGTTTACGGCATCTTCGGTTTGACAAAAAAGTGGGACAGGTTTGTGCAAACATTACACCCTTCTATCTTCACTAATAACGGAGATACCGTATGATTTCAACCAAAATGGGACACCCTGTACAGGGTGTCAAAAAATGTTTAAAAATCGAATTTCTTGCCTTAAATGGAATAACACTGATTTTTTTTGTCAATACGTTTTTAACAAAATCGATTCCTACAATTTTTCTTGTATGTACAGGGTGTCCCATTTTGGTTGAAATCATACGGTATCTCCGTTATTAGCAAAGATAGAAGGATGCAATTCGCACAAACCTGATCCACTTTTTTGTCAAACGGAAGATGCTGTAAACAAAATTTTCATAGCCTTCTTCGTTTCTGAGCTACAGGGTCTTTTCGAAAATTTTGCAAATTGGGACAGCCCCCGTATCTCTGTTATTGTGAAAGGAATCAAGGTGAAAACTGAATCTTGTAGAACTGTTTTCGTAGAATACAGCGACGTAGCCTGTTTTTCTACCATTTTTTTTTAAAAATATGAATTAATTTAAATATATAAATTAATAAGTTATGTTTTCTTAAATGGAACGCCCCATATATTTATAAATTATATGATCTGGCTTGTCATAAGTTTCTCAAAAATATATATCACTCTATGTTTATTTTCACTATTTACTGCATTATTTAAAAAAATATATTAAAAAGGTCATAATAAAAGAAACTAAAGAATTATTAAAAGTATACTGATATGTGCCTCTTGTTTTATTTTGCAGGCCACTAATAAATTCTTTTTACATTAGGGAAACTTAACTCTTTACCGCTATTTGTAATCTTGGGAAGCTATCTTACCGGAACTTTTAGATGTTCCTACAGCTAATATACGTGAAGTGGGATAGGTTTGTGCAAACCGCACTCTTTTCATCACTAATAACAGAGATACCGTATGATTTCAACTAAAATGGGACACCCTGTTCATCAAACGATTTTGGACAAAAACAAGTAAATCAACTATATTGCTTAACCTTTTTTTCCCCAAAAAACCGTTCGATGTACAAAAAAAACTCCAGAGATCAATCTTTTTTAAAAAGCATTGACAATATAGAAAATATATTTTTTAGAAAAAAAAAACAGGGGCGTGCAATTTAAACAATCCAAGAGCGTGTGCGTACGGACGCCACTGGTTCAAATAGAAAAACAACAGTTAATGTGTGGAAAAACTATCCTCATATCTGAGCATCACATACCAAAGTTGAAGAAAATATTTAAAATAGTTTCCGACATATTGCAAGAAATTCGATTTTTTTTAAATTGTAATACCTTGTAGGTTACAGTTGGAGGTTGGAACCTTTGGTGTTACACAACAAAATAAAACACTAAATCACCACAATACACCAAAAACACTTTTACTTTTACGCTGGACGCGCGATTCCGCTTGACATAGAAGCCTGATTAAGACTCAGTCTTAATCATAGTCTTAATCATCTGCTGATGATGCTAACATGGTTAGTGAAACATAAAAATGAAAAAAGTGAAAAAAAAAATAGTGATATAGTATACTTTAATTAAATACACTTTTTTAAATACAAGGTCTTAAGTAAGTGCAAATATTTTCAGGACTGGTAAAAAGATCTCGATAAAAGTAACACATTTTCTCTTTGTCGTTTTTCAAATAAGTCCAAAATAACCGAGATATTTTACTTTGAAAATTTAAAAAAAATAGATTTTTTTTCAAACCACCGGATCTTTTCTGGATTTTCTTTTTTTTGGAAATTTACTCTACTACCTATGTTGTTGCTATATTCTGAAGATATTATGTTTTTTAACTAAAAATTAAAAAAAAACTTTTCAAAAAATTCCAATTCCATTTTTTAAAAATATTTGCACTTATTTAAGACCCACTTTGTATATTAAAATTTTTCATAGGAGTTGCGTTTTTACTTCAAATAAGGAAATTGATTTTTGACTGTTGTATTATTATTGTCCTATCGGTAATAACACTTTTATGCTGTTTATTTGAAAAACTATAAAATATTTATTTATTGGTACATACTTATTTTTCTTCATGTTCTTCATTTCTTTTGATTGATGCTTATTATTATTCTTCTTCTTCTTCATTTTAATAGTGTGGTGGTTATGAAGTGGTTATTGTAGGATTTCCGTCAGATTTTGTTTTTCTTTGTATACAACATTCACCCCTCATTTCACCCCCTTAGGGGATGAATTTTCAAAAGGTCGCTTCTAAGTACTCACTTTTGTCACTTAAGGAACATCTGTATAAAATTTCATACTCCTATACCTAATTTAAAGAAAATTCATCCCCAGTTTAACCCCCATAGGAGATAAATTTTCGAAAATCGCTTCTAACTGTTCATTTACGCTACATAAGGGACCTCTGTGCAAAATTTGATACTGCTAGGACAGGTTTTAATTTTTGTGTATACAACATTTCACCCCTTATAGGGCGAATTTCCAAAAATCGTCCCTTAGTGCTCAATTCCGTCACCCAAGCAGCATCCGTGCAAAATTTCATACTCTTAGTTCGTCTCTAATTTCATCCCTTTAGAGATCGAATTTCCAAAAATCCCTTCTTAGCGATCACTAAAGAAACGTATGTGCCAAATTTCGTACTTCTATGTCAATCGAATTTTATATATTTTTTGTTTTATAGATATTGAAATATCGACTTTTGGATTTTTGAAAAAATATACACTAGAATTATGTATTTATTTTTCTAAAAAATAATATAACATTATCTATAAATAAAAAATATATTACAATATTGAATGTCTTGAAAATAAGAATATATCTACTTACTAGAATTAATATATCCTTACCTTGAGTATCTATACTTATTTATATATTATATGTATATGAGATCTATACTTATTACTACCATACGATCGAAAAAAAACGGCGTCCAATCGGCTCGGGAATGACAATCGGTGACAATTTTGGCGAGATCAAAATTGTATAAAACAAAAATTTGTTTTACTAGATGACACCACCAAACGAAAAATCATACTTATTCGTTTGTTTTAAACGTAATATCTAAGTTATTTTTTATTTGTAAATAATTAACTAACCTCCTGTTCATGGTAAAACTGTTGTAATTGGTGCCATAATTTTCATAACCAATAAAAAAATTAATACTTTTGTAATATATTTTAAAACATTATTTGGTGCTTGTAGTAGTTGTCATAGTTGTGTATAATCGTGTAATTAGACTTTTTCTATAGGTAAGTTAGCCTATTCAGCTAGGTGATGGTATAGATATAATAACTCTCTTCATGTGTATATTTGTATATACTATCTTGTATATTTGTTCTAATAATTATTTTAATTTTAGGAAAGAATCCCGAGATGTTGAAGAAATAAACCCTCCACTACCCGAGAATTTAATGGCAAACCCATTATACATAGAAAATCAAAAGAAAATAGATACCAGCACAAAAGATATATTGGCTAAAATTGCAGAGGTCAACAAGAGTCAAGGACTTTCAAGAAAAAAGTCTAAACCAGGCTACATTCAATTTCCATTCGGCTTCTATTCATCTCAAGAGAAATCCCATCAAATCGGTGATAGCAAAGAATCAAAGGATTTATACAGTAATCCGATACTCGAATATTTGAGAGAAAGAGATTTAAATACAAAGGACGATGGGAAATCTACCTTCAAAAACCAAATGGTATATCAACCAGGAAATGAAGAAAGTTATATAGCAAAAATCACAGATCTGAATTCTCAAATCGAACCAGAAGATATTATTCGTGGTCAATATATCAAAAGAAAAATAACTCATTACCAAACTGTTGTACTTCCTAGTCCGTATATTAACACGAATTCTGAATATCCTATTTCACCGACAGCGACATTGCCCATCAACGGATTGAAAAATGTCGAGCCTATACCTTACAGTAATTCTCAATATTTTCTACCTCCAAGCAATTATCCTTATCCTGGTTATCAATATCAGTTACCATTTTCATATAACGCACCTCCTTCAGATGTTGTGCAACAACAAGAAATTGCTTATAGAAACAATATTTTGAATCAAAATGCTGCTGATGAAAAAAAGAAAACTAGTAATTCTGAATCTGTTTCAAACTCAAAGTTTCCGATAGTGTACCCCCAAATGACTATGAAAAACACAGATATATTAAAGCAAACAACAGCACAGTCTAGGCAAAATTGGAATTGGCCAGGAGCTAATTTATTTCCGATCTATATAAGAGATCCTTTTCTGCAAATGTATTATGCCGTGACGAATATGGTTGAATATGGACCAACAGCTGGCAACGAGGGTCCTTGCAAATTAACCCCGAGACCAACACGTTTAAAAGCGGATACTGAATCTAGCACAGATTTTGGAGAGGATAATCATTACCACCGCCAACAGATAGAAGTGGAAATTAATAAGAAAAATGGTACAAATGAAGTTAGAATGATAAATACGGATCCATCTAGTTTATTGCCCGAGATGGATTACTTGGATGTAGAAAGTTTAGATATCGGTAACGATGACTTAATTAAACTCACTCTTAATTTACCAACACCAACGCCAACGCCAGTTCCAGTTGAAAGTAGAGAAATTAATGGTAAATCAAATATTTACAGATCATCTTGGGAAAAACTAGCTCAGATTAATAATAATAAATCCTCACTATTTCCAGCAGGCAAATTAGATTTTTCGTCCATTATACGAAGACCAGATTCGAACATAGCTACTACCATTCCACCCCCGCAAATAACCAATCAATACTTACAAATACACCAACTAGAAGATGAGCCAGAATCTGAAAAAACGGATATAGGAATTTCTAATCAAGGCAGTAAGAAGTTAATCAGTAAGGATAATACTGGAAATGGTATTTTTATTCATAAACTCCGAGTGCGCCACGGTGGTGTTGCCATAGCTGGTCCAGGTGGTATTGCTACTGCGGGAAGTGGTGGCACAGCTATCGTCGGTCCTGACGGGATTGCTTATACTCATCCTGATGGGTTAGCGATAGCTGGATCTGGAACTAAGGTTGTGGCTGTGGATCCGAAAATAGACTTGAATGAAGTCATTAAAAATGTCGTTACTAATGGGTCGAAACCCGTACCAAATACACGGCTGGGCAAAGTAGTAGCTATCGGACCAGTTATATACTACAACAAGGGTATCTAGTATTCCATGGACGTTATATAAAAAATCACCATTCAAATTATATGAGCGACATTGTAATAAAATAATAAATTATTTCTATAAAGTAGTAGGGTAAAATACATTTGAATGTTATGTAATCGAATAAAAATGGTATCACAGTAAACTTAGCATCACATCAAATTTGTTTAGTTTTCAAAACATAATTATAGAAAATAGGTCTTTATGAATTGTACAGGGTGTTTCAAAACAAATGCGAAAAACTTCAGGGGGCGATTCCTTGTTCAAAATAAGGGGTAGTTTGCTTCATAAACGTTGGGTCAAAAGTCAACCATTAGGGAGATGTACAAAGATGGCGGAAAAATAAGGTTTTTATTTTTTATCTTGAAAACGAAAAGAGATAGACTAATGAAATTTTATAGAAGTATTGCTGTTATGAAAACACACTTTCTGGTAATTTTTTCACTTTTTTAAAATGAGTGGAAGGGTTTGAAATAAACTACCCCTATCAATCTTGTTATCGAAATTTAAAGAAAAATCTTATCAAACACATGCAAAAAATAAATTTGGATAGCTTGGTTTGTTTAGAAACTTTTTTATCTCTTGTGTTTTTTTGATAAAACTCACCGATTTGAAATTAAAAAATAAAATGTAAAGCATTACATGTCAGGACAAAAGACATTTTTAGATAAAGAATCTAGTGGGCTGCTCTAATTTTGTTAGGGAAAAAATCTAGTCACCCCGATGTCACTTTTAGGACGTTTCTAATATTATTTTATTGACATTACTCTACTGCAATACGTTATTATCTAGATTCTTATTATTAGCGTTATTATCACTAGATTCTTTATCTAAAAATGTTTTTACCCTGACATGTAATGCTTTACATTTTATTTTCAATTTCAAATCGGCGAGATTCATCAAAAGGAAACACAAGAGATAAAAAAGCTAAACAAACAAAGCTATCAAATTATTTTTGCATGTGTTTGACTCATTTTTTAAATTTCGTTAACAAGAATGATAAGGTAGTTTATTTCAACCCCTTCCACTCATTTACAAAAAAGTCGAGAAAATTACTCACAGAAAGTATGTTTCTCACAACAGTAATGCTTCCATAAAATTTTCATTAATCTATTTTTCGTTTCAAGATAAAAAATAAAAACATTATTTTTCCGCCATCTTGGTACCGCGATATCTCCCTAATGGTTGACTTTTGACCCAACGTTTATAAAGCAAACTACCCTTTATTTTGAACAAGGAATCACCCCTGAAGTTTTTCGCATTTGTTTTGAAACACCCTGTATATATATTTTGTAGTATATTTTTTAAAAATTTCAAATAATCCAAGAGCAGATGTCATTGTCAATGCTAACAAGGGCGGATACAGGAATTTATTTTAGGGGGGGCAAAATAAAAAGTAATGTAGAATATGTTTTTTAGGGCGCCATTTTTAGCCCGAAAGCCTAAGATTTAACCTAATTTACAGATTTTAGGGTGGCCCGGGCCCCACGGCCCCCCTTTGTATCCGCCACTGAATGCTAAGAAATTTAACGATAGTTATAACACATCTTGAATTGATAAATTATTTCTTAGCCTACTGTGGAACCGTTTATATTTGAGCAATATGGTAAAAAAGATACGTGATCGTAGTACCATAGGTAACTCAAAATTTAGAAATAGAATATAGTTTAAGACAAATAGAAAATAACTAATTATTATTAATATACTTACTTTTTTATATACATTTAGATATGTTCTTGCCAAAGCGAATTAAAAGAATTGTTTCTTTTATTTTTATAATGTATCTAGACATAGATTGTAAATATTGACGTAGGTTATAATATTCTCTCTAAACTCTAGGATATCTCTGAAATATCTCTTATCTCTAAACTATGATATTCTGTTGTTATACAGGGCGTCCTAAGATTCCGTGGACGTGGACATAGAATGCGAATTTATGGAATCAAAATAAGTTCATTGGACACAATTCACCTCTATACAAAAGTGCTTCGTTCGTCCGTTAGAGGGCATCAATAAAAAATAAACCCGAATTTTAATTAATTTAAAATTTATGAAGAGATTATTGTCAAGTATCATTTGTAATACTAACATAAAGTTCCATTTTTTTGCCAACTGGATTATTAGTGCATTATACAGGGTTGTTCACCACATACGACACGGAGTATTGTAGCTAAACGATGAGATTTTTACAAATTGTAATTTTTGGGTTCGATGAAGGACAATTAGAGGTACAATTTAAAAATAATTTTACAAGATACAGAGTGTCCCAAATAAGTAAAAAATATCAAAGTTGTATTTTTTTAAACGGAACACCCTGTATATTATTACATTTTGTTTCTACGATTAAAATAAAGGTAAATTTGATTACGATTTATTATACTTAAAACCTTACGTTTTTGAAATATTTTCAATTTTAGAAATTGCAGTAAAAATTTTAAAGCTTCATTTCTCCAAGGGTATCAATGTTTTTAATACTAAATATTTAATGAAGTTTATTTATTGATCAGTTATTGTGTTGCAATAATAAAAATAATACTACCTTATACAGAGTGTCTAAAAATTTATTTAAAATAATTATTAGCTTCAAACGGCAATACCTTGTTTAATTTAAATGGAACACCCTGTATATTTTACGAGAATCAGATGCACAATTTAATTGTCTATCAAATTATATTATACCATTTTTTACCTATCTCTTTAAGTTTCCGTAGAAAATGCATTTTCTTGTAATTTAGAACTTATTTATCAATATACCCATGGACTATTGACATTTTAGATTATTTTTAAAGATGTACCAAATTTTTAAAGAGTACAAATATTAATATTGTCGATATAATTCGTTTATTTCATTAAAAAATAAAAAAAAACTGTTTAAATATTTGTTAAAGAGGATCAGTTAATATGATTCCAGTATTCAAACAACATTAACTGACTGTTTGCTTTGATTAATAATAATTGCTCCAAATACTAAAAAACTGAATTTTGTATGGGCATTAGACAGTGTGATAAAAAGTAACACCTTAAAAATGATATTTCATTTTTTAATAAATGCTTATTTATAACTACAGAGACTTTAATTTGATAACTTATTATTATATTGATTTCTGACTCAAATCCACATTTATTTATAATAATTTAATAACGAACACAATTAAGTATGTAATTAATTAGTATATGGGCGCAAATAATGGTGTTATATTTAATTAATGGTATACTCTTTTATAAAGATTTAAATAGTTTTCTTTTTGCATACAAATGGGCTAGTAATATTATCGTTTTGCTAAAAACGATAATATTACTAGTCTGTACATTTTGTACATTTGTTGCTTTAAAAACAATCTAAAATGTCAATATTCCATTGATATATTGATAAATGAGGTCTAAATTATAAGAAAATGCATTTTATACGAAAACTTGAAGGGATAGGTAAAAAATGGTATAATACAATTTGATAGACAATTTAATTGTGCATCTGATTCTCCTAAAATATACAGGGCATTCATTTAAATTAAAGAAGTTATTACCGTTTGAAGCTAATAATTATTTAAAATAAATTTTTAGACACTCTGTATAAGGTAGTATTATTTTTATTATTGCAACACAATAACTGATCAATAAATAAACTTCATTAAATATTTAGTATTAAAAACATTGATACCCTTGGAGAAATGAAGCTTTAAAATTTTTACTGCAATTTCACAAAATGGAAAATATTTCAAAAACGGTAAGGTTTAAGTATAATAAACCTTAATCAAATTTACCTTTATTTTAATCGTAGAAACTAAAAATGTAATAATATACAGGGTGTTCCATTTAAAAAAATACAACTTGAATATTTTTTATTTATTTGGGACACTCTGCATCTTGTAAAAAAATATTTTTAAATTGTAGCTCTAATAGTCCTTCAACGAACCCCAAACTTACAATTTGTAAAAATCTCATCGTTTAGCTACAATACTCCGTATCGTATGTGGTGAACAACCCTGTAGATTTTATCTGCTTATACAGGGTGTTTCAGAAAACATGTGCTATCTCTCGTGGGGAAATTCCTCACGTAAAAATAAGATTTATTTTTTATATCAACATAGGTCTGATTCTGCTTTGTTTCGTAGTTACAGGGTGTTAAAGTCTTAATATTTTTTTCTATTTATTCTAATTTTCTTCCAAGTACTTTTAGTGATTCGAATGAAATTTTGAGGATAAAAGTTACTATAAATGCGACATATTTTAAAGCTAAAATAGTGTCGACATCACTGGAATATTGTTCTAAAAAAAACATGCACGGCACTGACTTTATTCTCTTTTTAACGAAATAGTGTAAGCAGTTTAATGCGGATTAAAAGTTTTTTCTTGATATTTTGTCGATTTCGGCCTCCTTGATAAGAAAAACGCAGTTTTATTAATATATGTAAAAAAATCCTATAAACATGGGTATGGAAATGCTTATTTTTGGATAAAAACAGAACAGGAGTTACAGGATGTTGAAACTTTCTAAAATTAGGTTTAAGTACTTTTAGCGTAGAATGAAATTTTGAGATTAAAATTTACCTACTACATATTCACCAAGTACGTGCATTTGGGTTATCACTCGAATATTTTCTTAAAAAATATATGTACGCCACTGACTTTTTTTCTTTTGTTAGCGATATAGCGTAAGCAGTTAGCAGATTAAAAGTTGTATCTTCATATTTTGTAGATTTCGGCCTCCTTGATGAGATAAACGCAATTTTATTAATTTACCTTGATCCAAGTAGCAACCTTTAAAAATATTTAGTATCATTAACTTGCGAACGTTTTAAATAATAAGTACTCATTTATTCCTCATCAAAAAATAAGAAAAAAAGTTTCTATAAATATGGGCATGGAAATGCATAGTTTTACAGGATGTTAAAACTTTTTAAAATTAGGTTTTTTGTAATTATCTTAAATACCATTATTTTTTTATTTGAAATTGCTGTAAGTTGGATTTAGAAGGAATAATAACTAATAATAAGAATACAAAAGCCAAAGCAATAAGACTCTAAATCTCGGTCTCAATTTAAATTTTATCATATTAAATGTTGAGACCGAGACTTAGAGTCTTATTGCTTTGGCTTTTGTATTTCAAATCAGGTCTCTTTGGGTTCAATGGACGCCTTTTTTAAATAATAAGAATAATATTTAATAAAAAATTAGGTAAAATATA